CCAACGCTTAAACCATTAGGCTACCCCATCGCCCCCTCCCCCTCACTCTCACGCTGACGCAAGTGAACTTGTGATTTCACAGCAGTTAGTAGTTTCAATATCCATTACACTGTCACGCTCGGACTGTTGCAAGCGCATTACTCTTCAGGCATTGCACCGCCGTGATGTTGCTGGAATATTGCTAAAAGCGGCGTAAAACCAAACTCAGTCAGTCAGGCATTGCAAAGCCGGCGAGTGGTAGTTGTTGAAATATTTTACTAGCGCTTCCTTCAGCTAGACCAGAGTTACCTCCCTTAGACCACAACTACAACTTTTACCATGACCCGGAACGTTCATTCATTGACAATCTTTAAAAGTTGCCTAACACCTCTACTGCAGTGTATTTTAATTTTGCGTAGCGCTATGGGGTTGCTGGCACATAACAGGTCTACTGTATTATTATTAACATTAGTATTAGCTCTGTGCCAAACATTACATTGTTATACTATTGATCTGCATTAGATGCCGTTACATGTAGGTGACAAGTCGTGATTCACATTTAACTGTCAGTAAACACAACTCTTGTGTCACAATCAGGGTGGTCATATATGATAGCATATAGTGTTCTCTCTAAATACATTTTCTGCTTTGAAATAGAAATGTAATGAATATATATGTTTTGGTCCTTGGACATAAAATGGTAATGAATGGAAACTTGATTTCGTCAATATATGGCTGAAATAATGCCGATGTGACGTAATACCAAACTATCTAAATACTCAATTCCTTTATGTAGTCACAAGGCATATATTCATAAGATGGATATAGACAAAACCAAGTAAGATATCACGTTGAGAATTAAATATCCTCTTGTCAAACACAAGAAAGATCACATCTCTGTAATCGACAATAACACAACGTTAGCCGCATATCAAAGAGGAGTGGACACAAACAGCCACGCCCCCTCTGTAGTTAAAGACTTTATAATTCGTATAAACTAAATGATCAGGGAAGAATGATTCGATATTGCCTTTCGGACAATTATTCCATATCTCCAATAAGCGGAAGATTTGGTGCTTAGACAAATTATTTGTTACTTCAATATCGTCCAGCTTGTGTTTTAACCCGCTGACGTTCCAGCTCAGAACTTGACAGCTCCTCGTCATTGTCAATTACATCTAGCGTTGAAATTCACACCGTCTCCCATACCTGCACGTGGACCACGCTTTGCAGTGGTAGTCTCTTTTTAGGAGATGTCTGTTCTCCCGCGTGAGCGCACATCTGTAATGAACTACCTGAGGGAAGTTGATCTGTATCATAAATTGTAACTGTGTAATGTGACTAACAAATTGCCAGCTTTTAAATATAGTGCTATGACATTTTCTGTTTGTAAATGACAATGTACTGAATAGATGTTTTTGAAATAAAACTCATTTTGAATGTACTTACAATGTCTACTAATGCAGACTTGTTCTCGTCACTATATGGCTGGAATAATGCCGATATGACGAAAAGCCCAACTCAACTCAACTTATAGGAGATATCATGAGGGGGAAATAAAGCAGGCAAAGTGACGCCAAGGCATCCCCCATGCACATGTTGAGATGTAGATACAGCATGCGCTTGGTATAGATCCAACATGCCTTGGGTATTAGTTATGAACATGTGATTGCATACTTACCTATGATTTGTCCAGTGCTACCCATGCTGTCACGGTGAATAAACGTGTACAACTCGTCTGCGTTTGTGGGGATTCGATACGAAACAGCGCGAGTGTGTGTTTGAAGGAGCGGCCATCCTTCAGACTGTCGCATGCTTTGCAAGCGGCCATAATCGTCCTCGCACTTTCCTTCAGACTGTCGCATGCTTCGCACGGGTAATCTGCCGTGTCGTAAATGTGTGAGAAACTTTGAAACATTCGCCAATGTATCCCTGGGCCGTCGGCGATATAAAGAAGTTCCTATTTTATTCAATCTGTCCAAACTTTGGGGTTTTGAGTGTAAGTATTATTTATGATGACTGGTACGTTGTTGGAAGCCTTTTTGCGTGATTTCTGGTGTGGTGTGCCTCGAGTTGTGGGTGAGTTTGTTTGGTACTCTTTTTCTTTCATTTGGGGCTCGTCTCAAATAGTTTTTTTCCCTTTAAGCTACCATACGCTGTGTTCACATGGATAATGTTGCACAGATGTTTTGATCAGCAACTTTGATGGCGCTCTTTAGAAGTGACATCAATAAATGAATAAGTTAAGTTCTCAAAACGTTTCAAATGTTGTATGTGCTAAGTTTGGTTTGTCACAAAATCGCAAAGAAGCCCGTGGTAGTTTTTGAAGACAACTTTTGCCAAGAAGTAGCGTCCAATATCGCGGCCATCATATCCACATAGCCACATTTGACGACGCCCCTGTGTAGGAAGGTGCATAGACACCAAGTATGCAAAGTTTGAATGCCGTAGCTCTTGTAGTTTCAGTGCAGCACATTTTGGGAGTAAAGTAGTAGGGATTTTGCTGAAAAACACCAGCAAAAACTTCAATCCAAAATAGCGGCCAAACGGTGCATTTTAGCGACTCGACCGGTCCAGGCGAAATTGTAGACATTTTGATTGCGCATCTGCTCAAGACATTTGGTAGTCATTGGATGAGTAGTTTTGCAGATATTTGCTGTTGAAATTGAATTTTTGTAATTAATCTTGAATTATCTGCCCTTTGCCATTGGGCATAGAACCTTGGGATTTTTGCAGAAACAACTTCAGCACTGTGGACACCATGATAAGAACAGTAGGTCTTCCAGACTGTCGTCTGAAGACCTAATGATCACAAGATCCCCTATTCACTTGGCGTCTAATCAGTATAGGTATTAACTTGAGGTACATTGAATATATATGTAGTGGTGATAATCACTGGGAGCGGTTACTTTTAGAAATGAACTGGTGTAATGAGTTGAGAATGTTACTATTAGAGTTATCGTTCAGATAATCGTTTTTCAAGTGAACGTTATATTCTCAGTCTTACCAGCAATTATGTACACGATTCTGTTTTCTTATAAACGATAGGATTTCGTTATTGATCCATGCCAGATCGTTGGTTCTAATTGGTACGGTTTTATCAATGTATCTCACTTTAAAGCAAATTTCACTAATTGAGCATTTCCTAATCATGACCATTTTGTTGATACAGACTATGTCTCAACACACATATATGAAAAAAGTAAAGAAATTCAAATAATACCATATCAATATATCCAAATTTCACTAATATCACTAATTGGGCATTTTGTTGATTCAGACTAATAATAGTTACTTTTCCCATGACTTTTTTGTTGTTTTTGAATTAGTTTATGCAAATAACTGGAGAACAGGATGGTTTTTTTTACTGAAGATGAAGGTGAAATATTATTTATGAAACTGAGTATAAACAAAGTATATAACTGGAGAACAGGATGTTTTATAATAGTTATTTTTCCGATGACTTTTTATCAATGACTTTTTTCCTATGACTTTTTTTCCGATCACCCTTCTAGATGGCTACCTGTATGCCTAGAACAAGGTGAAAGGAGAAAATTATGATCTTCAAGTTACTTTCTAATAAGTGTTATCTGTGCACTGACAAACATATGATGTAAAATAATATGGTGCTTGGTCTCATATGTTTGATACAGGTATATGTATATAAATTATTGTTTTTTATGAATTGATAAAACTATAGTTAATACCTAATGTTGTCTTTTTATCCGGGCACATACCATTATTGTCAAGGGTTCAGCTTAATTAAGCCTTATGCAACCAACCATAAAATTGGTTGTCTTTTGGGAGGTCTGTCTTTTGGGAAGATACCCCCTATGTCATGCATAAAGCAATCCTGTTTAATACGCATTAGTTCAGTCTTGGGAGACGTTACATAATCTGTTCTAACTTCTTCCCCACCCTTTACCTAACACCCCACGAGTAAGGGTATGATACTGACTTTCTGACATGCATACAGAACTCAAGACAGCACAGGGAATTAAGACATCGTGTTCCACTGGGTAACCCGTACGCCTGAGGTATATATTTATTTATTTATGTGCTCTAATTAAGATATTAAGGTGGCTTTGGGTCATGCATAAAAAAATCATGTTTAACACGTATTAGGACGTTCTTGTGAGACGTTCCAATAATCTGACCTAACATCTTCCCTCAACCTTTTACATCAACACCCCATGTGAACGTTACAAAATCTAATAATGACGATAAAGAAAATTCTTTCCTTCATACAGGAAATATAACTTGATTTCTCAATTAGGCCAATGGTCCTCATTCGACAGAGAACCAAAATTCTTTGCGTCATTGCGTTTTTAATGAAACATACTTCTGAAAACCCGATGGATGGTAAAGAACCAACATTCTTTGCGTCATTGTGTTTTTAATGAAACATACTTCTGAAAACCCGATGGATGGTTAAGAACCAACATTCTTTGCGTCATTGTGTTTTTAATGAAACATACTTCTGAAAACCCGGTGGATGGTTAAGAACCAACATTCTTTGTGTCATTGTGTTATTAATGAAAACACTTCTGAAAACCCGGTGGATGGTTAAGAACCAACATTCTTTGCGTCATTGCGTTTTTAATGAAAACACTTCTGAAAACCCGATGGTTGGTTAAGAACCAACATTCTTTGCATCATTGTGTCTTTAATGAAAGATACTTCTGAAAACCCGATGGATGATTAAGAACCAACATTCCATGCGTCATTGTGTTATTAATGAAATATACTTCTGAAAACACGGTGGATGGTTAAGAACCAACATTCTTTGCGTCATTGCGTTTTGAATGAAACATACTTCTGAAAACCCGATGGATGGTTAAGACTCATAACCATTAATTCTTCCATGGGAATATCCCCGAATTCAAAGCAGAAAAGTGTCTTGATTCCTGATAATAAAAACTTTTAACAAAGTCCCTTGCCAGTTTTCAACAGATTTTGCTGTCTATATGTCAGATAGTTCTACCTGATCGTAAACATGTTTTTGTCTAATGGAAACTTACCTGCAGAAACCAGGCATTCCAAAGTCAGCAAATATATCCACAGGTCATGTTTTACGTTATCAGCCATGACACGAATGATTATGCGTGTTGTAACACATACGCAACTTGATGCAATGCACAAACAAGCCCGTTGCCTCCCGTGCCTTGCAGGTGAAGACAAGAACGTCTTTCAAGGACAATGTGAAGACTTGATGTTCTCTTGGGAATTGTTGCTTGGTGTCTGTATTGGTTCATGATTTATTCGTAGGTGATGATGCTACAGCTTGTGAGTCTGAAGAAAAAACGGACAAGCCTCAGAGCCTTTATCAGAGTGTTTGTGTAGTGGCGACGCTTTTAATGTATTAAAAGAATACTAGAAAATTGCAATTATTTGCTGGGTGAACGATAAAGTCATCAGAAACATGTACCTAATTTTTTAATTCAAAAATATGTTTATTTATGTTTTACTCTTAAAAATAGTTTGTGTTATCATTGTGCATATTCCGGGGGAACTCACGCGATTTGCCGCTCTTGACGTCATATAAAACTTAGAGTCCGCCATATTGCCAAAGACTAAGCGTTACAGTAATAAAAATGGTGTTGATTCCTTTGTTTTTGTGAAAAGTACGAAGGTGTAATGCCTTGTCTGCGGACGCACGGCATCATCGAACAGTGGAAAGAGACACCATTTCTTCCGTTTCCCAAGTGAAAAGACAGATTTAGGCAGGAGCCTATTTTTGTTCCCACATTGAGAAAGATTAACCCAAACAGAGAATCACAATCCAGTTAAAAGTGACAAAGTACCTTTGTTATACACGTACAGACCGTTTTACTTCACTTCAGATTAATGATGCAGTGTTGTTCGATGTGGTACAGTGTTTATATTGTATTGCATTGTTTCCGTTACGATTCAGTAAAGAGCAGCGGTGTGCTAGTTAACTCATGGGAGCCTGGAGAAGATAAGTAACTTTGGATTTTTGTGTGAGATCTAGTTGTCCAGCCATAGGAATGTCCCTTAGCTGGTATCCCTGCCTAAACTCAAAATAGATTTGGCGACGGTCCACACCGCTGACAGTAGGACGGGGAAGTGTTGGGGGGAATAAATATTCCTGTCACACATAATTTCAGCAGTAATGGGTTAACCTTTGTACATATTGTGAAATTCAAAGAAATTATCCCTTTGCAGATTTGTTTAGTCTCTGAAAATGAAGAAAGTCTCAGGGCTCCTTTTCATTATACATTTTTTACTATGAACTATTTGTTCTGTAAAATATGTTCATTTCAGAGACTAGTTGTTAGTCTAGGTTTAATTCTATGAACTAGACTCTTAACTAACTATTCACAGGTCACGAATACAAGCGTTTTGATTTCTACACCTTATCTTGTGAAACTTCACTCTATCGTATCTTTTTGGTTCGTTTTTTAACGCCACAATTTTCCAGTTATATGTCACCAGACAATCCAGTGATTAATATCATGAGCAGAAATCTCAGATGGGTTTTACCACTACAATTAAAACAAAATTGATTTTTATAAAATCACATCTGAAAGGTCTTACAAGATAATCCTTTAAAGACATGTATGACATGATAACAACGCATTCACTTGTCATCAATAAAAAATGGCTGACGCCATACATGCTATTTTTACAAACCCAAATCCCACAGCCGAATCTCAGCCATGGTCAAACAGAGTTAAAATCGTATTGTCAGACAGTAATGAATTATGTCATTTTTGAATTTCAATAATGAGAAGGAAATTAAGCCTTTTTCGCTTTTTTTGCCAGTTCAACAATTACATACACCCGGCAGAAGCACCCGATTTCGTTGTCTCTCGTGTGTGTGTAATTTTTTATGTAATCACGTGCTGTCCGTGATTTTGACAGTGTGAGTGTGCCTTGCCTCGCTAATGTTGCTTAAATGCCTTTACTTGAAACGTGAATGTCAGTAAGCTTACACGAACTACCGGCGACTTCGTCTTCTTTTCATGTATACATAACGGTAAACGAAACATACTTGTTGAGCGCAGCTATGGCAATAGCTATAACTTTAAGTTATCAATAGGTTATATGAGGCAAAATTATGGAAGGTAATTATGAGTGATATCAGCAATATTTCAGCCATGCCGTGACAAGAACAAACTATTCATTACTCCTAAATAAATCTAGGCCATACGCACCTGTTGTGGACAGTAGAAACACCAGAGTGTCACAGATTTGGTTTAAAACCAGCATGTTATAATATAATGTATTACTTCAGAAAACAACACAATATAAAAGTGTCATAAGGATGTATGTATACAAATTATGGAACGAAAATTACTGAGGCTAACTTCAAAGCACTAACCGTTACTGAACAGTTTTTAGATCACACTTTGTCAGAGAGTGTTTGTTGAAGTGATCCCAGTTGTAAAAAGAAAGAAATTGTCTTGTGACATTAGACTTTAAAATTCTGTGCCAAGTGAATAATTTATAGTTAAGATACGTCACGTAAGAATTCCATCTGGAATCATCCTCTCCATTGACGCGCTCTTTAGACTGGTCGTGATCAGGCTGTTGGGGAAATGGTACGGGCAAATAGTCTAAAATATTACATGTTCTGTTAACTCATGATATTAATCACTGGATTGTCTAGCTCCGGACTTGATCATTCACAGACCACTGTCACATATCTGTAAAATTGTGGCGTTAAAAAACGAGCAAACAAAAATATATGATAAAGTGAAGTTTCACAAAATAAGGTTTGAAAGTCAGTACACTTGTATTCGTGACCAGTAAATAGTATACCCCTTGACGCTCATAGTTCAACGTCAGGTTCATAAAATTAAACTCTTCATAAATAGGAGATATCGTTACAACAGTAATCAAGCTTCCAAAATAGGCCCTGGCTGAGTATCCAGGGTTAAAAGTAATCTTAACAAGTTTTATACCTTTGGACGGCCAGACAGAGATACTGCTTTTCATGGTATGTGTGGGTAGCATGTGCTGCGTTTAGGCGAACCCTTTCAAACTGTTTTTCATTACCTGAAATGTGGTACTAAACAATGCCATCATAGATGTGTGTGAAGATGTTTAACAACAACAAACTTTTAAAGTGAGTGCATGTTTATATATAAATACATATGTGTGTGTGTGTGTGTGTGTGTGTGTGTGCGTGTGCGCGTGTGTGTGTGCGTGCGTGCACTCACTTAACAATTTGATTCCCGGTTTGTGTGGTGACAGGACTGTCACACGCCGGACAGAAAATATTCAAAATATATTAACTTCAAGATACCTAAGTTTATGAAAACTTACATACAGTAATATATTGGTATCGAGATCTCTGCCGTTAAGATTGGAAGGGATTTTATGGAAAACAGTACTCAAAACTGTGGGTGACGTGTCAACACACCCGACTCGAGAACTGAACAGAGCAAGATGGCGACGCGATCTTCAACAACAACTACCTATGTAAGTGGGACACATCCTTAGACGTTTGTATTCCTGAGCACTATTGTCTACGTGTTCATGAACAATTCTGTAAGCAGGAAACCTTAACGAAAGTCATTGTCTTGTGACATTGGACTTTGGAATTCTAAGCCAAGTAAAATAAATAATTTATAGTTTAGATGCTTTCAGATACCATTGTCCTCCGCGTTACGTTTGTTCTCACCATTGATGACAGTTGAATTTGTTCTAAAGGATCGAATCCGATTTAGTACATAACCACCACGCTTCACTAAGTTAACTTGATCATTACCCCTTTTGATTTCTCTTTTCCCGTCATAAACTCGGCTTTTACTATTTTATTTCGTTTATCTGTTTTTAAACGTTTTTATTCAAAATTCCACTTAGGTTAACGCCCTATCATTTACATTGTTTTGGGTACGGTGGTTAATCCTTATTATAAACTTATTAATTATTATCCTATATCCCACCTACCCCGTCGGCGACATTGGCTACAGTCAGAAGCCGACGTTAAACCCCAAACCATCATCATCAAGTTAACTTGAATAGGGTACCATGTGGAACTCAACCTACAACCCGCGTCGAATATGGAGTTCACCAAACCCATACTATTTTTCCAAAGGAAAACGACTCTTAATTACCTTCGCCTCATATAACCTTCACACATATTGATAACTTAAAGTAGGGTTAAATAAAAATAGGATAATGTATTGTGTCAGCACTTTTTTATCCATGACAAGGGAATGTGTTGTTATCATGTAATTCATGTCTTCAAAGGATTCTCTTGTATAGCCCTATGTCACAGATACGAAATACAACTACCAGAACCAACAAGTGTACTACCAAGTGACTGGTTCAATATGTTGTTGAATAAGATAGGCGAGAGTGAGAGGCACGCATGATGACCTATTTCAATAACTCAATTCAATCATTTCACAAATCGATGAAAGAACTAAACGCATTAACTGTATCGAACTTAAAGTCAGTTTGATAGATAATAAACTTAATAACATTGATAAACGAGTGATTGACTTAGAAGCATCTACACAACACACGAGCAATGAATTTGACAATGCTATGCGTGACAGAAAACAAACAAGAGAAACGTTACAAGTCATGGAGAGAGAGAGAAACACGATATTGATCAGTGTCAGAAAGATCTGTATGGTTGTCAAGACTACATGGAGTTCATTGACAGACAGTGCCAAAAACTGAAACAAACTGCTATTGATACACAGATGAGAAGTATGAAAAATAACTTAATTTTCCCAGGCATAGAAGAGAGTGAGCCTGAAAATTGTGAGGAAATAGGTCAAGTCACTCATCAGAGACAACTTAGGAATCACTGACAGCATTGAGATAGATGTGGCCCATAGGCTAGGAAAAGTAAGAAGTCATGACAGCAGACCACGCCCAATTGTGGCAAGATTTCATTATCTGAAACAAAAGGAAGTGGTGAGACCATCTGCTAGGGAGCTAAAGGGTACCCATTTTGGGATAAATGACCAGTACCCATAGGAAACCATGGAAAGAAGGAAAGAACTACCCTTATATGAAGGAAGCAAGGAGGAAAGGGCAAAGGACAAATATAAGTGTGGACAGACTGTATATAAATGGAAAGCTGGTGAACATGGATGATGACATTGAGACTTATTATGATAAGTCAGTACAATCTAAGTACAAACACTCTACCAGCAAAG